GTTACATTTGGTAATAGTACAAAATATTTCAGAAAATAAATAATTGAAATACTATATTGTCATAAGATTACTTTGCAAGTATATAATCACAATTTCATAATTATTGATTTACAGTAGTAAAATGATTTAGTTTAATAAGCTTTCAAAAATTATTAGCGCTAAAAGTATTTTTTAAGTTAATTAAATCGTCTGCTCATCTGCACAAGCTTTAAATTCACTGAACAGATTAAAGCAATATTTACACCTGGAAATAACTAAATATTGTAAAAAACCAAAATCAGAGTATCTCTGGCAAAATAAATTTAACAAAATACTAAATTCTTTTTGAGTGTCTGATATGCTATAGAATTGTCTCTCCAAGATTTTGATCATCTAGAAGGAAGGTAAATTTCAATTTATATGTAATATGTACAGTGGCACCTCACTTAACAAGCACCTGACATAATGAGTATTTTGCATAATGAGCAAAATAAATTGTGAAAAAATGACTTGCTTAATGAGTGATGTTTCGCATAACGAGTGATGAGGAGAGGTGAAGTCCCCGGATTGTGAGTATGCGCCATCAGTCTGTGTTTAGCACTCATTCTGCTAGCATCTTAGGATCAAGTTATAAACTCTGTAGCATAACCATATCTGTATTCGTAAATGTTTGCTACACTGAATATCTATAGCAATAGTTATAAAATACAGTAAGGCTGTTTCCTTATCCTTTATGGAACAAACTTTTTTTTATGGCTTACGAAGCAGTCCATCGTGAGAATGCACAAAATCATTGGCTGATGTTGCCAGATCTAAAACTATAATTATTTATTCATTTTTCTATTTTTTTATGACCAAAGTAATTCTTATCTTAAAATTTTATGTTGTTCAGAAGTAGCATTGTCAGTCAAAAGATATGTTTCAACCAATTTGTTTCTTCCTGCACAACTTCCGATTGTATAGCGACTGACTTAGCGCATGTGCAGTTCGTCAATTCGCCATATCCCTACCGTAAGTTTGGTCAATTCAAACTTTTCTTACCGAATACAGTACAACCATACAGTTACATTACAGAGTTTATAACTTGACCCTTAGTGTTGCTTGTGATCACACATTTTCCAAACTTGTGTTCAGACATATTACATATAAACATCAACAACCATAGCCCATTATATAATAAACACATCAAATAATAAGCCAAATTCTTGGGCTATGTAAAGGCTATAATTAAATACAGTAAAATTTCTTTTGAATACACGTTATACAGTCAACTCCCCCCTATAACACTGTTGATTATTCCATTTTATATGAATTCCATGTTGTACGAGTCACTTAGATTTTACAAATGTGTGAGCCGTTCACAGCCCAGCACACGTATTTGTAAAATCTAAGTGACTTGTATAACATGGAATTCATATAAAACGGAATAATCAACAGTGTTATGGGGGGTCGACTGTATTTGATTTCCACTTNAAACCTTCAGTAACTGTATACCTGGCTAATAAAATGTATATCTTGACTTGAAACAGTAGCAAGACCTTGGATTGAATAACCAGCATTGTTGAACATATTAAGATAATATTAAACAAACTTTTCCAACTGACATTTTTCAAAAATACTTTTTGCAAGAATTTGCTTCTTTGTGAAGAACAAGAATATTTCTCTTCAGTCGTGATATCGATTTAGCATATCTCACTCTAATTTTATCATTTTCTTGGTGAATTCCCACTTTACAAGCTTCAAAGCAGATTGTGAGTGACTATACAATCTAGAAGCATATTCAGCAATAAATCTCATATATTTTGAAAGAAACTTACTATTAAGTATTTCTTCTAATTCTTTCAACATAACTGTTGCATGAGTGATTTTATGTTCATTTCTATGAAATTATTGTAAATTTCAAAGTGACTGGTACAGTAACTAACTGTCACAAACCATATATTTTGCTGAACCACAACAAGTTTTGGAAGAAGCATTTTTTCTTTCACATGATTATTGAAAAGCTGGAGATATCTCATTTTCCTACTGGAGCAATATTTAATGGTTGCCTTTGTATATACTACAACTTTGTTGACTGTGGTAAAATGAGCTTGCCAAATGTACTAATGTTGCACATCGTATGAACACAGTTTGGAAATAATATTTTCAATGTTTCAAATGTTTTTTCTTTTTATATATACATAGCACTATTCTGATACATGGTTTGACTTCATGTTTGTGCAGATTTCTGACTATTGATTGTAAAACTGTTATGGCATTTACAACTTCCAAGTTAAGGTACTGTACAGATATAAATATTCTTATTATGTGCCAAAGAACAACAGTGACTGTTGTTCTTTGCATTTCTTAAGTAATAAAGTAATTCTTTGGCACAATTATACAAGTAAAATATGTAAAACATAATTACCTTATAAGTCACTACTTTCTATTGTAACAGCAGTCACAAAATTAGCTTTTTTTTACCAGCTTCTTTCATTCATGTTTTTGATGAATTTCCTCTAAACCTCACAGATAATACTATCTTCTTGGACTTCAAATGTTTTTATAATGAATCTTTCCTGATGTGATTAAAACAATATTGCAAAGAATGCAGAACAGGTGTCTATTATCATTATGGAAGCTTTCCTTTGAAAACTCTTTTACTCTATCCTCAAAAGTAATATTTTTCACTTCATGCTTTTCATTGTATGATATGAACACAAACTAAAGTTGTTATTAACTATTGGTATTGTCTGTTCACCACTTAAACTTTTAAACTTTGATTTGCTTTATTCTAGTTTTTTTTCATTTACACAAAATTATTAAGACTCTTAATTAAGCAATGCCAACAAACAGTATTCATTCAATTAGCAAAAATCAATGTAGCAACTTTTCTTCCAGTCAGCACAATATAGAATGAACTCAGCCATCTACAGTCAAAGCAGTGACAATAGGATTAATCTTTTGAATGAAATTCAGGATATTTTCCCTTATCTGGTGAAGAAAAATTTTCTTCAGTTTCATTTATTTTTTTAAGAAGTGTTTAAATCATTTGTGTTTTTCTAGTTTTTACCAGTTTCTGATCAAATTTGTTTGATCTCTTTATGGTGTCTTACTGTTGCATTGGACATCTATAATGTAAACATAGACTTAGACCTTTTTTAAGTTGATATTAGTAAAAATCAAATCAGAAACACGACAATCCTAAAAATTATGCTATATCATGTAAAATGGTAACATTTACACTTCAGTAGAAATTTTGTTGTTTTCACAAAATCATAACTTAGATAGGTCTTTATGTATTCTGTCATTAAATCACAAACGTGATATAAAAATGCTGTTAGCTTCCATTTTTTTAAATATTTGATCATTTATTGAAATAGTTTACTTTATCATGATAAAGTAAACAATTTTAATAAAGTAATTATTAAAAATTTTGTGTTTATAGTGTGGTTCTGGGGATTTTTGAGTTAAAGAACAAATCTTCAGAAATAATGTTTGTATGAATATGAAATGCCCTTAATAGAAATGAACACAAACTAGAGTAATATTTTGAATAAAAAACAATACTTTTATTCAGAAAAATTATATATATAAAAATAAATGCTTCTTATCAATATATGTTCTTATATAATCTTAAGATGATTTACATGTTAACTTCATGTTATATACACAATATAACATAAAAATTAAAGCATTTTAAAATTATTCTAATTTTGAAACTTTTCTTTATTATTTAAATTTGTTCTCATAACAACCAGTTTTTGGACTTAAATTTTTTTATGATTGATAGATATAAATGGTGGAATTTAAACCAAACTCTTGATATAACTTTTATTATGTTAATATGCAAGTATTTACAAAAGACCATATTCAAAATAAGCATCATCTGCAGCTACACACTTCTGTTAGTGTTTGTACATTTATTAAAACAGTTGTGCAGCCCATTCTGAATTATTTCCTTGAGTGCAATCATGACAGTGCTTTTTCGATGTGAAATACCTAGTGCAATTCAAGTTGTTTGATGGTAGGTCTACTAATAAGGAACATTATATTGACATTATTGGTTACCTCCATGATACAATAAGACAAAAACAGCCTTATCTATGACAAGAAAAAATCTGGGTTCTTCATTCAACAATGCTCTGGTACATTGTTGTATAGCAAACATCTGGCAAAACATCAAATAACTGTTCATCATTCAACAAACCTTGTTTCCCAGACTTTTATGTTTTCACCAAAATAAACTTTTATTGAAGAATCATAGATTAAAATCTTAGAAGTGAAGTATTGCAACGATTACACTGAATGAGGTTAAACAGAATGGACTGCAAGACAATTAAATTTTAATAAGTTGTATGAACATTGGCAGAAGTGTGTAGCTGAAGATGGTGCTTATTTTGAAAGTAAATATCTATACTACTAATATAATAAAAGTTTTATTAAAAATTTAGTTTATTTTTGGCTGTACCATTTTAAAAATTCCATCTCTAATTTTAACATTTATCCATTTTTTAATATATCATTTATCATTCTGACTTATTGGTCAGTTTCAAAATTTTAATTTTACTCCTCAGATATTATTTAATGTTTAAATAAAGCTGGGCAAAATTATCTCATATCCATATTCTAAAATTAGATTTTAAAGCTTTTTAAAACTCGTCTTTTTTTAAAATTCAGCTAAATTCAGAGCATCTTTAAAATAAATTAATAGTTTAAAAATGGGATTATTAAATAATTATATTGATTTGAGTGTAAATGTAGGATAAAATGAGATGAGTTGAAGAGGATAATCTAGAAAGAAAAATTTATATGATACTAAATCACATTTCTTTTTTGAATAGACTAATGTTCTAATGAATAGCTTGTAATATTGTATATAAATACAATATTAGAAGCTAATTCATTTTATTTTCTGAGTCACTGTGGTTTTTTTTCAGTATTTTTATAATTTTTATTATATTTAATTATGTGTTGTTAATTTATAAAAATTTAAGCTATATATACATTAAACCAAAATTATAAAAATTTTTAAATTTCAGGTGCTGGACATCTTAGTGGAACAGTAGGTAAATTGCAGAAGGGACTCATTCATTTAAATCTTTCTAGGACAGGACTAACTTCTAAGGGTGTAAATACCTTAGCACATGCATTATCTTTAAATCGTGCCATGCCATCCACTCTTACCTACCTCAATCTTAGTGATAATGTTTTCAAAGAAGACATTAACGTAAGTACATAGAAATTAAAAGTAATAAATATTTCAACATGCATCATATTCATATGAATAAATTCTGTCTTTTCTTACAAAAACACTGAGATTTTTATATCTTACAGTAATTTAGTTTTGTAGTGTACTTAATATAAGTTAAATTTTCATTTGAAACATAAAAAAAGTATTTGGAGGTGTTTGGAATATTAATATTTACCCTATAATTATGTGCTATTCTATTCTAACTGTAACTATCATTGCATATTTTGTTAATTTTTGATTTATTCATAGATTAGATAATTATGTTTATTTTTTGGACATGAGTGTATAAATATGTGTGTGTGCGTGCATATATAAAGGAATGCATAATACCAAAAATAAAATTCTTTACATACTTAAAAAGCATAACTTTAATTTATAAATGCTACTGTCATTTCTAGTAAGTTAGGTTGACAATTATTATTTACAATAATAATAAGAATTTAAAAATTATTTTAACTTATTTTTATTTATTTATTTATTTTAATTGATCAGAGGGATCAAGTCCCCATAACCAGGAATTAGGACAAAAAAATTAAAGTAAAAAAGCTTTACAATTAGTAGTTATACAAGTAAAAACTTAAGTAAAGTTAATCATGTAGTTTCTTTAATGCATCTACTGTATAATAAAACTCTATTTTGATTACTGATAATTTTGAAAGATTATTGAACAATAAATGAAATTATTCCTATTATAATTACAAAAATATATGATAAATATTACCTTCAACTTATTATTAATATTTTACATTTTATAGATTATGGTACATTGAGAACTGTTCCTTATTATAAAAAAACATGGATAATTATTAAATAAAGTTATCTCCAATAAAAATGAAAAAAATATTAAAATATAGTGAACACTAAATACATTAGAATGTGTATATGCTGTCTTTACAAAATTTACTTTTTAGCTAGATCAATCGATACTTGTCCAGAATTCTTGATACACCTGATTGACTTATTGCTATTAAAGCTCGCATACATTTTTGGAATTGGCTGGCAGTAAAACTTAAATAAATGATAATACAGTATTCATCGTTCTCTCTGTACTACTATGAATGTCAGAATTCTGGATTTTTGAATTTTGAAGTTACAAAATTAAATGGAGAATAATTACTTTTGTAAAATGGTATCATCATTAAATTTTCTGTTCATTCAAATCTTATATCAAGTTATTTCTATCAATTAATATTACACTTTTTCTATATTTGTAATTTGGTTAACCTTGTTCACAACTTAAAATTAAAGCAATTGAGATCATATTTACCATTTTATAAACTTTCTTTAAGCTTAAATTTTATGACAGTTTAGCCCAGGAGGGATAGCTTGTCCCACTCTGACCCACACACCTTTTATTATGATTTGCTGAATTGTTAATTATGTTTTACTGATATGATTCACGGTAGCTTCCTATATTCTTTGTTATTATCGGAATGTATGGTCATTACTCAGTTTCGCAGAATGAATTAAGAGATAATGGCTCTTTGGGGTCATGGTGACCCACAGCAACCCTTGACTTCTGCATAAATTTGTAATGTTAATGTAATGTAAATGTAATAAAAATAATTTTTTTAAATCATGAAGTGACATACCTTTTTTATAATAGAAATAATTTTTTATCATTTCTAATAGTTTATGTTTTTTTAAATAGTTAGAATTTTTCAGATACTTAGAAAAATTTCCTCAAAATTTAACATGTAAATTCAAATGTTAATAAATAATTAACTAAGGATTACAAAGTAAACATATGTTTATATATATGTTTATTAAATTACTAAACAGAATGAGAAATAATATTTAAAAGAAAAAAGTGAACAAAGTTAAACTGTTAAGAAAAATTAATATTTAAAATGCAGATCAAGGTGACACGCAGTGACTCCTATGAATTGCCAAACGATGTGTCCTCTGTCAGGTTAAGCCAAGTTAATTTTCATCAAGTTTAAAACATGTTTTATATACATGTAAATTAGATAAGAATATGCCTTTAATATCTGAAACCTTAGATTCAGTTTAAACCTTTAGTTTATATAGGTCAGAATATGGCCAAATATGTTTAATTCAAGCAGAAATTTAATTGAATATTTTTTTCAAATAAATTTTATTGGTATTTATTGTTTTTGGTGTAAATATTATTAAAGTTTTGTAGTGCTCTGAAATTTGAAACATTTTTGGTTCTGAGATAGAACAAATATGATAACTACATTGTTTGTTTTTGTAAGATTCAAAGTAAAGAATGTAATTTTAAATTTTATTTATTTTGAAAATACCAATGTTTCTTTGGAATTACTGTTGTGATAAAACTTTTAATTTTCACAATTATTCAATATAATTTTAGATATGCGTTTATATTATATAATATTTTATATGTAATAACATTTGTTGTTGTAAAATAAGAATACTCTTTGTTGCAAATTAATTAATTTTGAATATAGAAAAGCTGATAGTAATTTTAATTCCAAACTAGTTTTAAATTGTATTTTAAAATTTATTTATAAACATTCTGAAGTTTAACTTTTATAATTTCAGAATCTCTATAATTTTCTTGCTCAGCCTAATGCTTTAACACATTTGGATTTATCTGGTACAGAATGTGCACTTGATACGGTAAGTCAGTATATTTTTCTTTTATAATATCAGATTTCTTACATCTAACTTCATAATACACTTGTCAATGATATTTTAAGTGATATCAATCTGTTAAAGTAAAACTTTTTAGAACATTGTTATTTTTTTTAACACTTTGAAATTAAAAACTCAATCTTCAGAATGCTTTTAGTATAGATATATAGAAAGAAAGAATATAACAAATTTCACTGGTCAATGTAACCATTGATCAGTGAAATTTACTTTTTCTTACACTTTATTAGGTGAACTGTATATGTTTTTCATGTTGATTATTAAACTAATTTTCAAATTTGACCCTTGTGTCACATTGTTGAGAAATTCAATAATATTAATTAATATTCTCTTAACACAAACTTTCATAAATAAATTTTCAAAGGAATGTGTAGCATTAACATGTAAAAACAAATTTTTATTTGAAATTATTTAATTATAATATATTTGAATATGTCTAAACTTGTTAGATTGCATCATGCAATTGCAACTTTAGTAGCTTTGTCAAGTTTAGCTTGAAAACCAATCATATCAATAGATGATTAGAACTAGAGATGCCACGAATAGTGATTTTGCCAAATACCAAATATTTGGCTACACTCTCGGCTGAAGTGCCAAATGTTCGGCAAAATATGTGTACATTTCACGGATGACAGGTTACAACCTGTCTCATTGCGATGAGTAGAGCGATGCCTTGGGCGCATCTGTTTTATTTGCAAGTAGATCATGTCATGACACGCATTATTTGTTCATTGTTAGATCAAATTGTGTTACTAATAGTCCTTATTACTAAAAAAAATATCACTGTTTGTTCGTCAAAAGCTTTACAAAATGGCACCATTTAATAAAAAATCATATATTTGGGAATATTATGAGATTTGTAGTGAAGATAATAAACTGGCTGTGTGTTTGCTGTGTAACATCAAGATCTCGCATAGTGGAGAAGGAAAGAAAGCAAGTAAGTAAAACCTTATTACGTATTAATTAAGTGAAACAATTTTAGTCATATTTAGTATTTAGCGCTTGTAATTTATTTCTTGTTTTTTTTTGCCTGGTACTTTATTTCACACACAGTATTTTGTTGATAAACTTGATATAAATAAGTCCTATTTTTAAATATACATTTTATTTATTATCTTTGAAATTCAGAGGCGTAAGTGAAGCCAGAATAATACAAGTTTAAGCTAGTACTGTTCGGGAATTCCCTTCTTTGATGTCAGATTTTTCATTGTTTAATTATTGTGTTCATGTTTTTGTTTTTTGTTTACAGCTACAACTTCTTTGAAAAACCACCTTAAAAGCAAACATGCTGAGTCCACATGCTATGTTAACTGTTGCTCCCTCAGCAAGCGACAGCAAAAATGATGGTACTCTTACTTCTACCAATTCCAAGATACTGGCAGTACCAGGTACATCAGAAAAGAAAGTTAACTCTGAAGGAAACAACTAAAAGGAAATTGTTATGGGATATTAATGATCAATAAAATCATAAGAAATCAATAAAATATCATTATTTAATTGGTGAAATGATTGCCTTAGACAACAAACCATTATCACTTGTTGAATGAGTTGGCTTTAAAAGGCTTATGGAAAAGGCAGTACCTCAATACAAAATACCTGGTTGCACTTACATGACCGAGAAAATTATTCCTGATATATATAATAGAATTTGCTCTAAAATTGAAGCTAGTATTTCGCGAGCAACAGCAGTATAAGTGGCATCTGATATGTGGACGTGTCAGCACAATAACCAGAGTTTCTTCAGTTTCACTGTGCATTGGATATCTCCAGAGTTTTTTCTTGAACATGGCGTTTTAGAAACTCTGAAAATTAGTTGTGATGAGGTCGACTCATCACAACTAATTTTCAGAGTTTCTAAAATGATGATTCTTCTCCACTTCGTAAGAAAAGAAATATCAATGAAAATGATAAAACCATTGAAATACACGACAGTTTCTGGAACTGTTTTGAGGAAGTTGCTACAGAAAATATGCAAAATGATGAGGATGTGGAGAAGAAAAGTACTATTGCAAATGAGATTGATTTTTATATGAAAACTGTTCACCTAGATTGGACAGCAGACATTTACAAGTGGTGGTCAGCAAATGCAAAACAGTATCCAAGCCTGACAGAATTCGCTAAGATTTATTTATCGTCTCCTGGGAGTAGTGTATGTAGTGAGAGGCTATTTTCAGAAGCAGGTATAGTTTATGAGGAAAAGTGCAATCGTTTGCTATCAACAAATGTTGAAAAAATTGTTCTCATTCATCACAACTTACCTCTGATAGATTTTAAATATTAAGTGTAATAATTTGTGATTAAAATAAATATATTTTTGAGTAATATGTGCTTTTTTTATTTATTTGTTATTCAGCCGAATAGTACGCAACATTCGGCCAAACAAATACTGAATATTAAAAAAAGTGGCCGAATACCGAATAGTAGCCGAATATTCGTGGCATCACTAATTAGAACTGCTACAAAGAAGTTATTTAAGCAACCCAGTAATTCAATTCAAGTAATTAGACTAAACAGTGGTGATAATCAAAACATCTTACAAGTGTGTAAAAACCCCTTATAGTTCCTGTTGTGTGTGTGGAGGGAATGTTTATTGTCAGAAATGCATTCTAATGAAAATGTTATCAGTTATAGAATAGAATCAGCCCCTGAAACTTTTAATTATACTCCAAGAGTCTATCTGAAACTCAGTGTCTGGAATTTGAATGAGAAGTTAGAAATGCAAATGACTAAGTTTAGTAATTTTCTAAGTTTTCTATTCACATATCTCTTTTCAAATGAAATTAATTTTCAGGAACATTTCAAAGTTAAAAACAGACATTTAAAATTTGTTTGAACAAGGTAGTCTTTAAATATAAACATTTTTTAAAATTAAAACTAATTATCTTTGTATACTAACTGTTAATATTCATTAAATTTTTCTAAAGTGAATTTCAAATTTACATAGTTAAGCTTGATATAAAATTTTAACTTTTTAAAATATTTGATTTTCTTGGTGCAAACATTTTGAAAATATAAAGAAAAATATCTAATATATTTTTAAATAAATATATTTTATATTAAAATATATCTATTTTCAATACTTCTTTATTTACATTTTGATTAGTGATATATAAAAACCTATATTATTTACAATGTATGGTTAATTTTAAAAGAATTCATATATTTTCATTAGAAAATTTCATTAAAGCCATTTTAATTATTTTTTTATTGTTATATTTTTAGGTGTTTGGAGCTCTTCTTAGAGGTTGCACTCAAAAATTGGCTGTTTTAAATTTATCACGAAATCAATTTTCTACCAAAAAAAGTAAAGAAGTAATAGTTCCTCCATCATTTAAGACTTTCTTTTCTAGTACAATTGCTTTAAAAGTACTAAATATGTCAAGTAATAAACTTCCTGTTGAGTCATTAAAGTAAGTGTCAAGAATTAAAAAAAATTTATTTTATATGTATATAGCACATATGCATGTACTCATGCTGCTTTACTATATACCTTTATGTAAAAATTTTTCAGTTTAATGAAATAAAAGTTTAACCCTTCATAAACAAAAGGGATTATTATAATGAAATTATCAATGCATAAATTTTTTTATATAAATTAATTTTCTAAATGAAAAAACTTCAAAGGACTGTTTAGATCAGTTTCTCAACCTTTTCAGAATTATCATCCCCTTTGCAAGTATCAGAACATATCACCCCCTTCTCTTTAAAATTTATTAAATATTATTTTATACATACATAATTATTTATTTATTAAAAATACAGATTTCTCAAAAATAACATACAAGTCTAAAATTGACATTTAAAGATAAATAATTATTATTAATATGAGACATCTTTGAAACTGATGAAGTTGGGTCAACTTGTTTATATTTTATTTAAAACTAATTAAAAATAATCTTAAATCATTTTTTTTAGTTATTTGCAAATGATTCCTTTGTTTGGACAACTGAAGAATGGTGCTGAATCCTTCCTTTTTCTATGACAAGGAGTTGGAAATGTCACAATTAGCTATTTGATTTCATTCCATAGCTTTTTAAACTCTTTTCTATTTTTACCCAAAATGTTACAATATTACCTTGTGTATATAAAATTTTGGCTTTGACATGATTTTGCTCATTGATTGAAATTTCTTGCAAATGTATGGGCATCTTATGTACAGTACATCAACATTAAAAGAGTTAAAGAACATAGAGTTCAAAATAACTGTAAAATGCCAAGCAAAATACATTTGATACACTTGAATATGAAGACACAAATGAATCAATGGACTTTCTTTGCCAAAATAAAACCCACCAATAAAATGTAGCACACCCAAAGACCTCTCTACAATAATCTTAATTGCATCTAATTAAGTTTGTATTCATATGATGTCACGGTGGGCTAGAGATAACTTATTTGCTTGACTACCTAGATTGTCAAGCCAGTTATCATTAATATGTTATGTTACATTCAATAGGAACTTGGTTCACATTAGATATATGTAATTATGATTATATAGCATGGCTTTAGTCACTAGAGGCCTCCTTATAACTAAGCCAGATTGCAAAAATAAAAATATTCATTCATCACTAAATCACCTAAACATAAATTACATCCCTTTGCTCAATAAAAACCATAAATGCCCATAAGGGATGATTTAGGCTAAGAAATTCTGATTTAGGCAATTATCTTGCAATAAGAACTTTAGTCGTAATTGTTGATTTAGTTTATAGTGTAATGTCATTACTGTATAATTATCCAAAATGGTAATCTTGACTTCATCTAATGCTATAGAAAGCAGACTACCATTTTGGATGCAGTCAACATGATGCAAAGCCTAGACCATTTTCTAGTGAAATGAAGAAACAGGCCAGATGGACATACTAGAATGCTGTGACACAAATCAGGAATTAATGGATGTTTTGATTGCATAATACATACAGGACAATTGCAAAATTATAGACATCTTTCAGCAATAAACAACATACATTTTGTTAAAGGCATATTATTATCAATGTCATCACTACTTTAGGTAACAACTGTTTTATTCAAGAAAGTGCTGATAATACAGCTTTTAGTTACAAACAATGATAATCAGATAGTTGAGCAGGTAGAGATCAGTTTACTACTTTGAGGAACTTCGATTTAACTCTGGATTTGCTCAGAATTTTTCAGGAGTTGGTCAACCCAAATATGTTCATTCCTGTGCCTCACCAGCCAACAATCCTTTTATTGTGGGCCTGGTTGAACTCATGATTGGCACAATTAAAAGACCCTTTTAGTGCCCACAAGATAGAGAGAGAGAAAAAAAAATGTAAAAGTTACAAACACAAATTGTTACTTCATTAAGGTCTCTTAAAGCAAATTTCAAACTTTTAGACTGTATAACTAGCAATAATAGAAAAACTGATTTTAAAAATTCCTTGTCTCAAGGTGTAAGAGTTCTTTTTTTTTTTTTTTTTTTGACATTCTGGTATTTTGACTGAATTTCATTATAATGAATGTATATCTGTGATCTCACAGTTTTGTTTTATTGGTATTTTACTGTATGTCTTCAAAAATATGGATACAGAAAAATAACTTTTCCATAAATATATTTTTAGTCCTGGTGCATTAAGAGTAAAAAAATACTATGTACTGGTAGAGACATCATTTTTCTTGATATGCTGCATTTCAATGTAAGGGTGCATGTTGCATATGTACAGCAGTAGTCAGAGGTTACCACAAATACACAAATGTGTCCATTCATTACATCAAGAAACAAGATGGCAAACAGAAGTGTGTTGCAGACATGGACAAGGAATGAAGTGTGTCAATTGTTCACTATGAATGGATTCAATACTTGGCACATGGCACATTTGACATCAAGATCCATAAGTGACTAGTGGAGGTGCACAGATTAGATGGTAATGTCAGATCTGGTACTGTCAAAGCAAATGGTACAGAACAATGCAAGGAATTCCATGATACCCATAACAAGCTGTGACCTGGATAGCTATCAATATCCCCTGGAGAGAATAATGTTGCAAGTATCATGACCATAATTCATGCCAACAGACAGATGACTATGATTGTCACAGAATTGGGTGTTTGTCAAGGTATGCTGGATTATCACAAAGTATTCGTACAATGAGGGCTGTGTTTCATAAGCAATGAAGAAGTGTAAGTTTAAAACTACTTCTGAATGCAGAACACAAACTTCTGTGAGAGAGACAATTTAATCTAATGAAGTGCTATGACAAAACATAGTGAGAATGCCTGCCCCTTCCTATCCACAATATATTTGGTCTCAAAAACAGAAATTTCTATTAATAGCACAAGTCTGAGTTTGAAAATTCACTTTATTTTATGTTAAGAATATAAAATAATATAAAATGATACAAAAGTAACATGATCTAGACAAAGCAAGCAAAGAAAAAAATTAAGTTATATTCAAATATTTTGTTTGCATCTTAAAATTAAATTATATCATTATTTACCCATTTTCTTTTATTTGTTTTAGGGCAATGTTATTAGGCCTTGCTTGTAATGAAATAGCCACTGACATTTCTCTAGATCTCAGTAATAATGATTTGAAATCCCAAGGTGCTCTAGTGTTAGAATCATGTCTTCCAGGAATCCGTTGTTTATGTAGTTTAGATATTAGTGAAAATAGTAAGTACTTTTTTTTATGTTTGTTCTAATTTTTTATAATGCAATTATAATTAATATAAATTATAAATTTGTCCTATTTTTTAGTTATTTTATTATTATTTTAAACTTGTATATCTATTTTTATATATTTAACAAACTAAAATTGTTGTAAAAGGGTTCTTATATTTGTAAGTTGAGTACATTTTTTAAAATGCTCAGATACTTTTTATTTGAAAGATATTTTTTTTTTTTAAATACATAGGCTGCTCTTATTTTATGCCAGTTTGATTTACACCAACTCTCAATAATAATGGTTTCAAATTTTTCCAACCCAGGAAAAGACAAACTATGGCAGTATTAGCCTCCTTTGCATTAGATGTAGAGATATTGTACAGAACAAGCTCATCTGGACTAAGCAAGTCTAATACATTTTTTGACAGATTATCCTAAATCAGGCACTTAGAAAAACTTGAAATTTATAAAGCATTCAGGAATAACTTAATGATTAATTATAAAAATAATTCCTTAGTTTAGGCCTAGAGGGTATATATGTTACCGCTAAAGCTCGAAAGTCAATGTGTACATTACCTAGCTAATCTGCAGATTAACTAGGGTGATCCATTAAAGTTGCTAAAATTGTTCTATTTCTCAAATTACCTAGGTAATGTGCAGATTATCTAGGTAATCTACTTTACCCAGTACTACGCACTGGGTAAAGTGAAAATAAGATCTTTGCTGGAACAACGGCAACGTTTCTGTACACTTAAATTAACATAATGTTCTTTATTTAATTTTTGATATCTAAAGAATCAAGTTAATACAATCAAACAATCAACAAATTAGTTGATAATCAATCATCAATTAAAAAACATACAAAAAATCAAACAGTTTAAAATATTAATACAATTAGGGAAATTATTATACAGTATATGTTGGTAATAATTATGGTAATAAATTACCATAATTATTACCAACCAGATTATTAGAATAGGTTAGGTTAGGTTTGAACGTGTGTCCCCACTGTTTCCTTTCTTCTCTTTGCTGGAATCAGAGACGAGCCGCCATTTTACTCACCATAGGTAACATTATCCAATTGTGCTTACTTATTAGTGCAGTCTAAAGATTGATGATACTTTGAATTTCATAGCAATTGGTTTTTGCGACAAGCACACCTATCTGTAGTACATTTATTTGTGGCAAAGATCTTATTTTCACTTTACTGAGTGCCTAGTAGGTAATATGCGGATTACCTAGATACTCTGCACATTATCTAGGTAATTTGAGAAATGGAACAATTTTCACAACTTTAACGGATTGCCCTGGTTAATCTGCAGATTAGCTAGGTAATGCACACATTAACGACTTTCGAGCTTTAGCGATAACTTATATACAAAAATACCATACAAGTGATTATGTCACAGTCACCTGTGTCCAACACTGTGTCAGGAGACAGATTCTTTAAAATAAAAGTCATTCCATTTCATATAGCATTCTACATTTGAATGTGATATATAATCTGACAATGGTGGTTTAAAACTACTGATAAAGTTTGTTTCAAGATTAATTTTACTTTCCTGGCTGTTATGTATACATGACAAAGGAAAGTATTGGAATCAAATTTCACCCTCAGAGTTTTTTGTTAATCTTCATATTTTGAGACCTCCTGAATCCAAAAAAAATAAAAAAAAAGGCAAAAGAGTTCCTTGGATGTGTGTATATGAGTGTCTGCATCTATTTTAATATCTCATCATGGTGTAAAAATTAAGTAACAAAATTTGGCATGATGATTTGTATATGAGGGCATTGATGCTATTAAATTTTGGTGGTTAAAGATCGAGTGGGTTGGAGAGATAAAGAGGTTCATGTATATCTCCAATAGGATTAGACTTAATGACAATTTTACTCATTATTAACATTTGTACTTTTTGTAAAACTCATCCCTACTCTCAAAATTAAGCTTTTTGACATTTTACAGTAGTTAAAAATATAAGTTTTTTTTAATAACAAAATCTCATAACAGATAATACCACCCACAATTTACTTATTTTGCATAATAATATAAAAGTTCCTTTTTTAATAAAAACTCATAATAGCCAAGAAAGTTACACAACTTCTCTTTGCTGGATTTTTTAGTTTTGTGTTGGATCTTAGGTTTTTGGTTGTGTTTAAATACCTTTCAAATAAATAAATAGTGCATCTAAATATTATCTAATAAATATATATATATATATATATATTAGATGTGTAACAAAATTTATATTATGATAATGAGCTTTGATAGCATATAAATTATAAAATTTAATATTGTCAAAAATAATTGAAAAATATTATTTAATAGTTAATGTTCTTAAAATTATTAATTGTTGTTATAGATTTTGATGTTGATCTTGCTGGTATTATTAGTGCAGTTGGAAAAAATAAATCTATAAAACATCTTTATATTGGAAAAAATTTTATTAACATTAAAGCAAAGTGAGTATTATTTTTTTGTTTTAATTGAATTTTGTTATATCAAGAAAGAATGAAAAATTTAAGAAATTTTTTCCTTAATTGAAATTATATCTTCAGTTTTTTCAAAAAATAAAATTATTTTAATATAGATTTGATTATAGGACAAAATTATTTAAGCAAGATATTCATTTTAAAAACATTTCTATTAACATTTATGAATAAATATTTTTGAATATTTCCATTAAAATATAAAATATCATTAACAAATAAGACATAGCTAACAAAATGATGATTTTATTTAAAGAGATAATGCAGTTTGCCCTTCTGAACATAATATTTATAAGTTTCTCATTGTTTTTATCTTATTTTTATCCATTAAATGGAAGTGTGGATTTTTGCGAAATCAGCTTATTGGGGAATAACTCCTTTACAGCTTCAATTGATTTATGGATTAAATACAAGAACATGGTTTCAACAAGATGGTGCCACTTGTCACACATCAAGTGAATCAATTGAAGCCATAAAGGAGTTATTCCCCAATAAGCTGATTTCACAAAAATATGATGTTAACTGGCTACCACGCAGTCCAGACCTGAGTCCTCTGGACTATTTCTTATGAGAATTTCTTAAAGAGAGGGTGTACAAAAATAAGCCAAGTACATTAACTTAGTTAAAGCAGAATATCACAGCAGAAATGGCATTGGTATCTCAGGCTTTGTACTGAGAAATCTTCACTCAGGATTAGAAGAGTGCCAGGAGCATAGTGGATGCCATTTAGATAACATAATTTTTAGTAAATAATTTTCCAATAACCATAGATTGAAAATAAAAACAAAACTTTCTTTGACCATTTTTTATTTTTAATTTATTTTACTTTTAAACTGCACTCACTGTCACCCTTTCTGGACACACTGTATTTAATGCTTATAGTTTCTTTTAGTTCATGATTAAGAATATATATTTTGGAATATTTGAAAAACTTTCTTGAAACATTCTAAAATATCTAATTCAAACTCATATTCAAATGAATTTGAAATGTTGAAGATATTTGAAACTTACAAACAACTTGTGTTTTAAAATATTTTTATTATATTTTTAATAAGGCTATACAAAGACTTTTTTATTGTTCTAATTGTTTTATCATGATGATTCTGAATAAAAGAAAAATAATCTCAAAAATATAAAATATAATAATTTCATTTTTGATTGTTAAGTTAAAGCTTAAATTTCCTTTTACTAAAAAACAATTAAAAATAGATTGTTGTGTAGATTTAGTTATTTAAATTTACTCATATAAAATTTATATATAATAACATTTTTTCTTTTAAAGGCATATGGGACGAATAATAGATGCAATTGTTCAGCTAATACAAGAAGAAGATACTGTTTTAGAAACGCTATCTTTAGCTGATTCTAAATTACGATCAGATACATGTCTTATAATAAATGCTCTCGGAAGCAATCAATCTTTAACATCAATAGATGTCAGGTAAAATTTTATCATTAAATATATAAGAATATTACAGTTTGATTATCTTCCTTATTATAATCAGAGAGAGAACTGTTCAGATACAGCCATAAAAAAAACTTAAATATTGTAACTAAATTTATTTTACTCAGAAATATTTTTAAATAACAACAGTCAGATTTAATATTTTTCTATATCTGAATTTTGAAATAATACATTTTAATTCAAAGTTATATGATTATTTCTTTTCTTCTTGTTTTGATACTTATAATATTTAACATTCATTAAAATAAACAATACTTGATAATATCATATACCAATACAAAACAGTATTGCTTATTTAAGACAGCCAAAGAAAAATTTATTATCAAAGAAACATTTTGATTTTTTCTGCATCCATCAGCAGCTTTAATTAAAATATAAAGAAAAGTATTCTCTAGAACAGTGTTTCAAAAATATAGAATTTTAGTAACTAATACAATGTTCTTTATAGAATAGAACAGGGATGTCTAACCTGCAGCCTACTATACCCTAAATTTATTAGGTACATTTTCATTTATTTTGGTAAAGTATGTTGTAAAAATTATTCTTGTTTCACTGGATACATTTTGACATCGTATTGACATAATTGGTGACATAATTTGTAACATTCAAATCAAAAAAAGTAGGTGGCGTGGTCTGTCATTTTGATTGTTTCAGTTTCAAAGACTTTTGTAACGAAGTGATGATGTTAGTGATAAAGCATGGGTACCTTTCATTGGGTGGATAAAGAAGACACATAATTCATCTTTTCAAAAGAGTGTCAGCCATTTTTAGTGATGCAAGGCTAGGCCTAATGCCTAAGTGGAAGAGGCTTTTTATTCTTTATTTCTTTTTAATTTGAGGAAATTGTCAATTTAGCTAGAAAACTGTTATTCATGTGGAGTACTACATACTATTGTGAACAATTCTTTCCATGCACGAAAAACATCAAAACTGCTGAAAGAGATAAGTCCAGTGATTTCCATTTAACTAACATTCTTATAATAAAGACTAATACTGTAAAAACAAATATTGACAACATTATAAAAGGAAGGCAATGTCAAAAATTGCATTGAATTTATTTTTATTTCATGTGAGTATAATTTTTTTTTTACTGTCAATAATACAATAAATAAAAATCTTCAAACACCGGATTAATATAAAAATAATGTTCGTTAATGTAACACATCCATAAAAACCGTTTTAAGAATACCGAGCATTACGTAACAAATGTTGTTTATGGAATACTGGAATGCACGTGATTCACGTTTGTTTGAATTTCGACTTTTGAAAGAAGGATTTATATTTTTTCGAACGTCGCATTCAAATGAAGTTCGTTCTACTGGTCTTTTTAACGAATTTTAAAGAAGAATCTGTGCTTGAGAAAGGACCCAGGGAAGGATCCGAAAACGTTTGCATCTAATCTTACTCAAATTTAATACCAGTTAAAGGTTTGATGAGGTATTATTTTTAATAATACAATATTTTTATAATTATAAATACTTATATATACTTGTTATTAAACTTGTTATTAAAATTTAATATTATATACTTGTTATATACTTGTTATTAAAATTTAATATTCACATTTTGAAATTTTTAAAAGCATGTTTTTATATAAAGTACCTTTGTAGTCCACTGAATATACCTAAATTTCTAATTTGGCCCATTTGGAAAAAAGGTTGAACAACCCTGGAATAGAGCATAGCTAAATTATTATTTAGTAAATCATAGAGTAAATCACTAAACCAGCATTTAGTAATTTACTCTAGATTGAGTTTAAATTCCTGTGGTTGTCAAATATAAGAATAAATGTGACAGTTAAATTCCCAGAATGACCATAGCATTGCACATAATGTAATTATATCAAAATCATTTGAGTATTAATTAATGTTTGTATGTTAATTCAAGCATGTGCATAAATTGCAATCATTCCAAAAGTAAAACCATTCACACTTTTCCAGCAAATGGGTTTATTCATTAAATGAACATACAAATGTTTCTGGTTTAATTCATAAATCTGAGGTAGGTTTAAAAATTAAACTGGAAATATCTGTATGTTTGTTTAATGAATAAAACATTTACTGGAAAAGTGTGAATGATTTTGATAAGATATCTGTTATAAGTGTCATTATTGGATTTTATGTAAGTCGCAACTGATGGAGCCAGTTATTAGCTACTGGAAAGGTAATAAAGATCTGCATGTGCTCTTTGGCATAGAAATAAATAATTGAAATTTAAAGCAGCATATTAATATCAAATTTTGTGAGAAAAATTGATAAAAGTAGTACTGAATCATTACAACTGTAATCACATCTTGTCTGGAATATCTTGACTATTGAATGTCTTCATGACTTGTAACACTAAGTGTTCCCATTTTCCAATTATTTTTTTATCAAGAACACATGCTGCTCAGTATACAGGTAACCCCCGTATAACACGGTAGTTACGTTCCAAAAAATTGCCGTGTTATGCGAAACAAAGAACTAGTACGAAAAGGAGGGTTAGGTTCCAAAAATTAAAAAACATGCTACTATATTTTCATAATTAAGATAAATATCTTTATTAAAATTTTTTTAAGTGATACATATTAATATAAACAATGTTTTCTTTGTCATCACTAAAAGCACTATTAACCGAGAGCGTTTTATTTTTGGCAAGTTATCGTTATCCTCTGAGCATTTTTCTGCATTATTTTCAGATTCATGCTTTACCTTTTGCAAAAAGTGTATGTAATTTTAGATTGCTTGCTTCTAGTTAAAAGATCTTTATAAATTTCCTTATATGGTGCTAAGCACTTATGGAATAAGGGAAAAACATCTGGCAACACCAGAAGCAGAAGCGTCGAGATCTGGCAAAATTGAAACAATTTTCGCGAAGGATCATGTGTATGGAGACGAGAAAAGAAAATTTACACACTGAAGTACTAATAGTTCACGAAAATTATTATTTTTGTGAACTATTAGTACTTAAGTATGTAAAAATTTATTACATTTCATGTTGTACGAGGGTTTTACCCATTTCTCGAACCGTGTCAGAGTGAATCCGTGCTATAAAAGTAACGTGTTATACAGGGGATGGTACCGATTCTCGAACCATGTTAGAGTGAATCCGTGCTATAGAAGTGCCGTGTTATACGGGGTTTACCTGTATTTACATGTTTTTACATTTATTAGATGATGCATTATCCTACACAGAAAACAGCTATCACTTCTCACCATCTCTATTATCATCTCTAGAATGTGTGCAATACATACATAAATTTGGTGGAAATTTGTACATGCAGATTATTATCATGAAAAAGCAATGCTTATGTAGAAAATTGGATCTACTTCTGATCAGTTCATGAATTACGAGGGTAGTCCCATAAGTACCCGACCTAACAAAGAAGACACAAAAAATTTGGAAAAACATATCATTATTTTTCAACATAGTCTCCTTTTAGTTCGATACACTTTTCCCAGCGATGTTCAATAGCTTCAATACCCTGCTTATAGTAAGAACTGTCGAGCTTCTCAAAATAGCCATTAACCGCAGACTCCACCTCTTCATTGTTGGCAAATCTTTTACCACTGAGCCATTTTTTCAAGTCTGGAAAGAGAAAATAATCCGAGGGGGCTAAATCTGGCGAATAGGGTGCGTGAGGAATCAATTTGAACCTTAAGTCATTGATTTTAGCCATCGAAATTATAGATCTGTGAACTGGTGCGTTGTCTTGATGAAACAACACTTTCTTTTTTGCCAAATGTGGCCGTTTTTTCTTAATTTTATCACTCAAGCACTGCAATAAGTTTGAATAATACTTGCTGTTGATTGTTTTTCCTTTATGAAGATAATCAATGAAAATTATCCCACGCGCATCCCAAAAAACTGACGCCAAGACCTTGCCAGCAGATGGAAGTGTCTTCGCCTTCTTTGGAGCTGATTCTCCCCTTTCAGTCCATTGTTTCGATTGTTCTTTCGTCTCAGGTGTGAAGTGATGGACCCATGTTTCATCCATGGTTATGAATTGACGCAAAAACTCGGCTTTGTTGCTGCGAAACATCGCCAAACACTCGATTGAAACATCCTCACAACGCTGTTTTTGTTCCGTTGTGAGCAAACGCGGCACCCATCTTGCGCACAGCTTTCTCATGTTCAAATTTTCAGTCAAAATGCGATGTACAGCACTTTTCGAAATGCCTACCATGTCTGCTAGCTCTCGCACTTTCAGTCGACGGTCATCCAATACCATTTTATGGATTTTTTTTTTTACCATTTCTGGCGTGGTCACCTCACTTGGTCGACCACTGCGATGTTCATCTTGGCAGCTCATACGGCCTCGTTTAAACTCTGTCATCCAATATTTTATTGTTGTAAACGAGGGAGCAGACTCACCCAGAGTAGAATCTAGCTCAGCTTTAATATTAGTTGGACTGAAACCTTTCAAATGAAAGTATTGTATCACATAACGATGACCAATTTTTTCCATGTTTACAAATTCACTGAGATTGTTCACTATTGATGGCTGTCAAATAAATACTAAACAAGGTAGCGTCTTCAAATTTCAAACTTAAGCTTTATGAGGTTGATGCTTTCGAACACAATAATTTTTTTAAAAAAACTACTGCCATCTATATGTCAGGTCGGGTACTTCTGGGACGACCCTCGTATGTTTTAATGATCTGGATATTTATATGAATCATAATCAAAACTGATTATGGCTGCAAAAAAGCTGAAAATATTTCTTTGATAATAAATTTTTCTTTGTCTTAAATAAGCAGTACTGTTTGTATTATGTAATATATCTTTTCAAAACCTTTCTCTCTAGAAAGGTTTTGAAGTTTATTGAACTTGTATTTATATATGTAACAACAAGCCAGTTTAAATTGTTGAATAAAGTAAATAAAGTATATCAATAAAACTTATATATTCATGTAAAAATTCATATTTTTAGTGGAAATTTTATGGGAGCAGCAGGAGCAAAGACTTTGGCAAAAGCACTTCAAGTGAATTCTAAATTAAAATCTGTTATTTGGGATCGAAATGCAACTCCAGCTCAAGGTTTTCAAGATATTGCATATGCTTTAGAGAAGTATATTTTCATTAAAATATTTTATTATTTAATAAGAATAAATGTGACAGTTAAATTCCCAGAATGACCATAGCATTGCACATAATGTAATTATATCAAAATCATTTGAGTATTAATTAATGTTTGTATGTTAATTCAAGCATGTGCATAAATTGCAATCATTCCAAAAGTAAAACCATTCACACTTTTCCAGCAAATGGGTTTATTCATTAAATGAACATACAAATGTTTCTGGTTTAATTCATAAATCTGAGGTAGGTTTAAAAATTAAACTGGAAATATCTGTATGTTTGTTTAATGAATAAAACATTTACTGGAAAAGTGTGAATGATTTTGATAAGATATCTGTTATAAGTGTCATTATTGGATTTTATGTAAGTCGCAACTGATGGAGCCAGTTATTAGCTACTGGAAAGGTAATAAAGATCTGCATGTGCTCTTTGGCATAGAAATAAATAATTGAAATTTAAAGCAGCATATTAATATCAAATTTTGTGAGAAAAATTGATAAAAGTAGTACTGAATCATTACAACTGTAATCACATCTTGTCTGGAATATCTTGACTATTGAATGTCTTCATGACTTGTAACACTAAGTGTTCCCATTTTCCAATTATTTTTTTATCAAGAACACATGCTGCTCAGTATACAGGTAACCCCCGTATAACACGGTAGTTACGTTCCAAAAAATTGCCGTGTTATGCGAAACAAAGAACTAGTACGAAAAGGAGGGTTAGGTTCCAAAAATTAAAAAACATGCTACTATATTTTCATAATTAAGATAAATATCTTTATTAAAATTTTTTTAAGTGATACATATTAATATAAATTAAACAATGTTTTCTTTGTCATCACTAAAA